GACTTCTTACCSATAGAGTTAAACGACTTAGATGTCATATTGGGGATGAAGTGGCTGCAATCTATGGGGAGAATGGAGGCCGATTGGCCAACCCTCACCATGTCCTTCACGCGAGGGGAAAAGAAAATCACTCTCAGAGGAGATCCGACGCTAGCTCGCATTGAGGTCTCCCTTAAACGCCTCACCCGCTCATGGCAGGAAGCCGACCAAGGGTTTCTTGTGGAGCTTCGTACCCTTACGGCACTTGGGGCAAGGCAATTGACTCCGACAGAAGATAGAGACCTAGAGATGGCTCCAGTGATACAACAGCTTCGAGAAGGGTATAGTGATGTATTCCAGCCCCCAGAGCAGATGCCCCCACCACGTTCCATTGACCACAAGATCCCTATTAAGGAGGGTGAGCCACCAGTGAACGTTAGACCCTATCGTTATGCCTATGCACAAAAAACAGAGATCGAAAAAATGATTGATGAGATGATTCAAAAGGGACTGATTCAACCAAGTGTGAGCCCGTACTCCAGCCCGGTGATTTTAGTAAAGAAGAAGGACGGGAGTTGGAGGTTCTGTGTAGATTATCGAGCATTGAATAATGCCACGGTACCAGATAAATTTCCCATTCCAGTTATCGATGAACTTTTGGATGAGCTCCATGGATCACGAATCTACTCGAAAATCGATCTAAGATCGGGGTACCACCAGATTCGTATGGCACCTAACGACGTGCAGAAGACCGCTTTCAGAACCCACGAGGGTCACTATGAGTTCCTCGTCATGCCTTTTGGGCTGACTAAYGCACCGGCAACCTTCCAGTCTTTGATGAATCAGGTATTTCGACCCTTCCTCCGCAAATTTGTCCTCGTGTTTTTTGATKACATTTTAGTGTACAACCCTRACGAACAGTCACATGTCACTCACTTGACTGTGGTGTTCAACTTATTGCGAGACAATTCTCTTTACGCCAACATGAAGAAGTGCAGCTTCGCTCAAGATAGGGTGGAGTACTTGGGACATTGGGTCTCGGAAGAGGGAGTARAGGCCGATCCGGAAAAAATCAAGGCAATGCTACAGTGGCCGTTACCAACTAATTTTCGGGAGTTAAGAGGATTCCTTGGCCTAACCGGGTATTACAGGAAGTTCGTCCAGAGCTATGGGATCCTCGCAGCACCTCTTACTCAACTGCTTAAAAAAGACTCCTTTGAGTGGACACCTCAGGCTACCGAAGCCTTTGAGACACTAAAGGCAGTCATGGTGACATTGCCCGTCCTTGCCTTGCCTGATTTCCACCTGTCGTTCGTGGTTGAAACCGACGCCTCCGGAACCGGCTTAGGGGCAGTTCTCATGCAGGATCAGAGACCAATCGCCTATTTTAGCCACACCCTATCACGCCAAGGGCAAGCAAAATCCGTCTATGAGCGTGAGTTAATGGCCGTTACCTTGGCCATCCAGAAATGGCRTCCTTACTTGCTGGGCCAGCGTTTCATAGTACGGACAGATCAGCGGGCACTTAAGTATCCTCTTGAACAACGTATAGTCCAGCTTGAGTACCAGAAATGGGTGTCCAAACTCCTGGGCTATGATTTCGAAATTCAGTACAAACCCGGATTARAGAACAAGGCTGCCGACGCCCTTTCTAGAATGCCCCCTGGCCCGTACCTCGCGGTTCTATCCGTGCCTACCTTGCTGGATGTCGAAACCCTAAAGGCCGAGGTCCAAGCAGACCRCACAATGTCAAAGATCATCGCTAACTTAATGACAGATCCGGATAGTCACCCCAAATATAGCTTGCACCACGGGGTGTTACACTAATGACAGATCATCGCTAACTTAATGACATATCCAGCACATCGACCTTAAAGCCAGCAATTCTACAATTGTACCATAATTCCATTATGGGAGGACACTCGGGCTTCTTGCGGACATATAAGCGGCTCATCGGAGAATTATATTGGCATGGGATGAAAAYGGACATCAAAAAATTTGTGGAAGAGTGCTTTGTTTGTCAGYGGAACAAGACCTTGACGGTCTCACCGGCGGGTTTGTTGCAACCATTAGTGGTACCCGACCGCATATGGGAAGATATTACCATGGACTTCGTGGAGGGCTTGCCTAAATCAGCCGGACAGGACACCGTGTTTGTGGTGGTAGATCGCCTGAGCAAGTATGCTCATTTTATTCCGCTGTGCCACCCCTTTACCGCCAAGATGGTTGCTGCTGCGTTTGTCAAAGAGGTGGTTTGCCTCCATGGATTCCCCCAATCCATCATATCAGACAGGGACAAAATCTTCCTTAGTAATTTCTGGACAGAATTGTTCCGAACGCAAGGGACYAAGTTGAAAAGGAGCACGGCCTACCATCCTCAAACAGATGGCCAAACAGAGATCGTGAATAAGTGTCTTGAAACTTATCTGCACTGTTTCTGTAGTGAAGCGCCTAGAACATGGGAAGAATGGCTGTCGTGGGCCAAATATTGGTACAACACCACCTTTCACAGCTCTCTGGGAGCAACCCCATTTCAGGCCGTGTATGRGCGCCCACCCCCGCCTCTATTATCTTATGGCAGCCAAAAGACAACAAATGCCTCCTTGGATCAGCAGCTGGCTGACYGTGACATTGCCTGGCCGCTCTCAAAGATAACCTCCTACGCGCTCAAAACCGGATGAAGAAGATGGCGGTATTTTATAGCAGTAGTTTGATTCGTTATAGTTGAATCGAAGATGCTGCCAATGGAAATACATTTTAGAGAAGTTGAAGTCATTTAACTTTAAAGCTTTGGTACCATTTTAGTTTCCTRAACATAAACAAGAAAATCTCTAATAACAGAGAACAAAAGTAATTTGATCACTTAACATTTGGCTGCACTCATTCATTGAAAGTGATAAATAACAATGGTATTTATACCAGCTTGTAGCTTAATGAGCAGTCTTTAACACAGGTTCTCGTTTCTTATTTCTCAAATTTAAGAAATACTTCCAAAATTGTGAAGAATTTTTGGTAAAATAAAATAAAATTTCTTATTTTTTTTCTTTTTGTTTATTGTTTTTTTCCCCTCCAAAAACACAAATAAAATTATTATTTTATCATTCTAGACTTATAAAATGCATAAAAAATATTAAAAACAAATATATACGATATATATACACATGAATATTTTATTCAAAAATTAATTTTTCATATACAAAGTTTACTTTTCTAATTTAAAATTTCAGAGAATAAGAAACAATAAATGATTATTACTAAACATGTTTTGAATTCTCTTTCCAATAATAATAATAAGATCAAGAGACAAAAAACCATTATCAAACGCAATTTTGTATTAATTTAGTAAAAAAAATAAACAAAAAATAAGATATAAAAAACATAAACGTTACCTAATAAGTCATTACTAAGTGTTTTATCTACTGTGTTATTTCAAGTTGATTATAAATTAATTATGTTATAAAAATTAAAAGGAAAAATAAACTCATAATMTTATATTAATTAACACACTTTTTTAAAAGTATATTTATTAGCACATATATAACAATAACAAACTACCAAATGGACCTATAATGCAAATTATAAGTGGGACAACTCAATGAGATTAAAGAAAGAACCCAACTCACTTTATGCCTTGAAAAATGACTTAAAATAGACCAAACTATGTGGCTTCAAACATGACCAACTTGCATAATCTAATATTAATCAAAACATTTAACATATATATATATAACCTTCATGGGAGGGTATATAAGTCATTCTATTTTAGTGTTTGTTATTGAAGAATCTAAGAGCTGGCCATTTCCACATGATAGAGACTTTCATGTCAAATAGTTATTGGCAATTCTCAAAAGTCCAATTGACTATAGGCCCCTTGTGACAAGGATATTTACAATTCACTCCTTTCTAAGAAAAATGATATTTTTCCCCTTCAAATATCTTGATCTTATATAATAAAACTTAAATTTTCTATACTCATTTTGTTTTGGTCCTTCAAACTCTCAAATGATGTCATGCTTAAGTCCTTCCKCTTTTAAATCTTTTGTTTTAACCTCTAAACTTTGTATACAAATTTATTTTAGTACTAACCTACTAAACTTTCATTAAATAGCTMACATAATTTAAATCTATTGAGAAATCGATACTTTACGTGTTATATTTGACTTCAAATATACATATTTTTTGTGTAAATTCTATTCAYGAAAGTAAATGAACAAAACACATATCCCATATTATGTTTTTTGTYAAATAATTAAAAAAATGAATAACAAGSAATAAAATGACATTTTTATGTAATGTTCAAAGACTAAGACAAAATGTTACTTCAAATATTGAAATAATATTAAATCTAAAAGTAATTATGAATCACTTTAAATTCACTTAAAAAGTTTGATTTTCCTAAAAGAAGAAAAATCAAGAGAATTTGSATYCAATTTTGATTTAAAATAAGTTAGATTTCTCAAATTAGACATCCATAATATAGGATCTACCTTCTCCCCTACAAATTAGACATTYTCATCAAATTCAGCTTCAATGCTCTTACACTAGATATCCAAGAACGTACATTCTTTTAAGGTTCTAACATCTAATYTTTATCTATCCAAAAAAATTTAAACGGTCGACAACTAGCGTTCCATGAAATAAAGATAATTGCTACTTTTTTAAAACTTTACCATAAAAGAGAAATACATTTTTTATAGTWTGATCATATTTATTTTACAGCTGGTCCTTTCCTTATTATATTAACTCACAGTGATTGATTAAAATACTACATTAAAAAGAYGATCTTACACATGGTCCTAACCAAATCACCTCACTTTCCTAATATAATCGGCCTCCACTTTCCACTMAAAGAAATACTTTTCCCAAAGAAAAATCAAAGGGAAAAGGACATGTTTGACTTATCCTCTAAGGGTAGTATAGACTTTAGAGATGGGCCACTAGGAAACATTGATGATTAATGATTCATCTTCCCCAAAATTTTCAAATTGGTGACAATAAATTTTCCCCTTCAGCCTTTTTCCCAAGTCAAAATGAGCCAGATGGGTCAGTCAATTTCACCATTTTTCCTCTTCCATTTCGATGCTTCTCTTTATAAGGTCTCTAAAGGGGATTTGGAGAAAGGCAAATTTGGTCCGCTCTTGGAAAAATATGGCCAAATTGCTCCTATTGCTGCTCTCTTTCATTATTTTGGTTGCTTTTGGGGTTGCTAATGGGGCTGAGAAGAAGGAGCAGATTGGGGTTTTTGAGCTCAAGAAGGGAGATGTTTCGGTGAAGTTTACCAACTGGGGTGCCACTATTGTATCCCTTCTGGTCCCGGACAGGCATGGTTTGTCCCCATTTTGGTCTCTCTTCTTTTTGGGGTTTTTGAGGTTTCTGTTCTTGTGTTTGTGAATCTCTTTGTTTTGTTTCCTGTTTCTCTTATGGGGGTTTCTGTTTTTGTTACAGGGAAGTTGGGTGATGTTGTTCTTGGGTATGATTCCATTCAGGAGTATCAGGTGAGGTTCTTTTTCTTTT